AGTAAGGAGGAGGACGGGGGAATGCTGCTGCTGCTGATGATGATGATCAAGACGACGCTGCCGATGATGCTGATGATGATGTTGATGCTGATGATGATGATGATGCTGATTCTCATGATGATGCTGATGTTGATGAAGGTGATGATGATAATGCTGATGATGGTGTTGGTGCTGATGATGCAGACGATGATGATGATGATGCTGATGATGATGATGATGATGGTGATGATGTTCGTGGCGTTGGTTATGATTGCAAGGTTTGCGATGGCGACGCTAATGGCGATGACGACGATGATGACACATGAGGAGGGGGAGGGGGGGCAGAGAGCATGGTGTGTGGGGGAGGATTGATGAGGATGTGGGGGAGCATGTGTACAACGACTTTTGGGATGACTCTTGGGGCGGGGGGGGCGTGCGTCATCCCCCACCATCCGTCTGCCGAGCTGGTCTGCAGCTCGCTGGAGCCGGTCTGCAGCTTTCCGCGCGCCGTGCAACTATGGAGCCCAAGCCCCGAATTGCGCATCCCTGGGGCACGTTCTTGCGCGCAGCACACGCGCGACCCGCATGCACACGCACACTCGCACGCACACGCGCATGCACGCACACGAACATGCACACGCAAACGCACACGCAACCGCACACGCACACGCACACGCACGCACACACAAACACACACACACAACACACACAATGCACAATACACAACACACAGCACACACCACACAACGCACAGCACACAACACACTACACACAACACACAACACACACTACACAACACACAAACAGAACACACAGCACACAGCACACAACACACAACACACAACAGACAACAAACGACACACTACACATAATGCATGACACACAACACACAGCACATATTACACAGCACAGAGCACACACCACACATATCTCACACAGCACGCCGCACACAACACACAACAGGCAACACACACCACACAACACACACCACACAACACACAACGCACAACACACAACACACAACACACAAACACACAACACACAGCACAAAACACAGCACATAGCACAACACGCACACACGTGCGCTCGAACGCACGCACGCACGCACGCACGTACGCACACACACACACACGCACACGCACATACACACACACACCACACACACCACTCCCACAGAGACACACATACACACATACACACCACTCACCACACAACACACACAACACACAGCATACACAACACACAACACACGCAACACACAACACACACACAACACACAACACACAGACAACACACACAACACACACACAACACAACCCACACATACCCCCCCCACACACACACATACATACATACATACATACATACATACATACATACATACATACATACATACATACATACATACATACATACACACACACGCACGCACGCACGCACACACACATACACACACACCACACCCACCACACACACACACACACCACACACTACACTCACACTCACACTCAAACTCACACTCACACTCACACTCACACTCACATGCACATGCACATTCACATTCACATTCACATTTACATTCACATTCACACATACACACAACTGAGCCCAGCCTGGGTCGCGGGCGTTGGGCCGCTGGCGGCCAGCTCATCGAGCAGCGCCTGCATCTGCGCCCTCAGGTCCTCGCTGCCGTAGGCGGCACGGGCGGCCTCGCTGTGCCGGCGCTGCAGCTCCAGCTCCTGGGGCGGCCTGCATCCCGCGCAAATCCCCTGGACCACCAGCTCGGCGGCCTCCTTCGGCCCGCTGCGCTCGTCGTCGGCGGCAGCCCTGGATTCCTCCTTCAAGGTCTTCCCCTCCGCGGCCGCCTGCAGCGCCGTGGGCACCTGCGCCTCGTTGTCCTCCGCGTCGGCCTCTGCCCGGGCCGTCGCTCGCTCCTGGAAGTCCTTCGCCGCCGCGGCAGTGGCCAGCAGCTGTGCCTGGCAGGCCTCCTCCAACGCGGCGTCGTCTTCTGAGGTCGGCACCTCTTTGGGCTGCTGGGTCGGCGGCGCGGGCACGGCCGCCGCCGCAGGTGCCGCGGTGCGCGCCCGCCTGCTCAGCAGTCCACGCGCGTGCCGCTGCAGCGCCACGGCGGCAGCCTCCCTGGCTGGCTGGCTCGGCTGCCACGGCCCTCCTCCTGGCCCAGTCACCCTTCCAGCCGCGGCCCTCCGGGACCAGCGCGTGGCTGGCCGCGCTCTGCAGCCTGGCCGCTGCCCAACCTCGCCGCCACTCGCCGCTCTCGGCCGCGGTGTTCACGGCCGCGTTCGGGCGGGCGCGCCCGCTCGCGCGAACGGCCGCTCGGGCCCCTGCAGCGGCCTGGACCGCGCCTCCGCGGCGGAGCGGCAGCGCCTCCGAGGTGGAGCGGGCGTGCTGCGGGCAGGCCAGCGTGCCCCGCTGGGCCCCAGCGCCGCCCTGCTCTGCGCGGGGCTGCGCGCGCGGGGGTCCAAGCCGCGCAGCCCGCACTCCCGCGGTGCCACGTCCGCCTCCTGGGCGTCGGCTCTGCCCATGAGGCACGGCACGCCTGCGCAGCTGGCCTCGCCGTGCGCCCTTCGCAGCGGGGAGGCCCGCGGCTGGCGGCGCGGCCTCTGGGCGCACACGCCCTGATTGCACCCAGTCGTGCACGATCCCTCCGATGACGTGCACTAGCAGGAGGGGGAGGAGGGGGAGGGGGAGGGGGATCCGTGCAGACCGGCCAGGACGCGCAAGCGCAGCCTATGCACCAGCGCCCGCCGTCTGGTAGCGCGGCCGTAGCAGCCCGCACGGACCCCTCGCTCTGCGCTGCGTCGCCGGGGCCGCCGCCGCGAAACGCTGAGTCAAGCGCTCCTGACAGCAGGGGGATGAGGTGCAGCACCGTTTTCTGCTCGGGAGCAGGGGGATGAGGTGCAGCACCAGTTTCTGCTGAAGAGCAGGGGGATGAGGCGCAGAACCGTTTTCTGCTTCCGGACCCGCACCCTTCGCAGGGTCTGCCCCTCCCTCCCCCAGACTTCATCCTGGCGCTCCTCCTCCTTTACCTCGCCCTTCACCTGCCACTCATTTTCCTCCTCCACCTCGGCCGCCTTCCTCCTCCTCCACCTCCTCCTTCTGCTTTTTACTCTCCCTGCTTCTGCCTCTCCTTCTCCTCCTCCTCCTCCCTCCCCTCCTCCTCCTCCTCCTCCTCCTCCTCCTCCTCCTCCTCCTCCTCTTCCTCCTCCTCCTTCTCCCTTCTCCCCCTCCTCCTCCTTCATCCTCCTTCTGCCCCTTTTCCCTCCTGCCTCCTTCCCATGTCTTCCCCTCCTCGTCTTTACTCATTCTTCTCATCCCTCCCCCTTCTTCTCATCCCTCCGCCTCCTCTGGTCCTCCTCCTCCTCCTCCTCCTCGATGCAGCGACGAGTCTGTACAACACACGCGCCCCCACCACTGAACTCCTCGAGCGCCGACACGAACCAGTAGAGCATCTGGCCCAAGAGCCTTCCAAGATCCTCCCAGGGCCCCCCAAATGGGTCTCCAATCTGCCACCATAGGAGGTCAGGCGCTTCCAGGAGTTTCGAAGGGCCTTCCTGAGCATCTGGGGGTCTTCCGGGGGCCTCTGGCGTACCAGGCGAGGCCCCTGGCGGGCTTCCCTTCCGGGTTTCCAGATAGCTCCCTTTACCCCTCGACCTCCCTCCCGCCCTCCCATCTCCCCCTTGGCCCTCCGCCTTTCTCTTCCCCCTCTCTCCTTTCCGTCCCGCATTCTCCGTCTTCCTCTCCCTCCTCCCTGCCTTTTCTCTCCTGCTTGCACAATGTGCAGCCCCGCCTCTCTTCCCCGATACTGTGTTTGCGGTGACGCCCCCGCCTGCATAGCTTTTCACACATGATGTCGTCAGATCGTGTTTGTTTCATGTGATTTCCATCAGACAGCTTCCGATTCCAATACCTGCTGCTTCCGCTGCAGAGTCGGCCGCATTGCAGCATCGGCGTTTCGCCCCCGTCGTTCAGATTAGCTCTCTCGCCCCAGCGCGGACCACATTTCTTGATCTAATTCGTTTCTTGTCGTTGGAGTCCCCCTCCTTTCCCCGCTGCTGCTTTTCCTCCTCCTTCCATATCCTCCTGCTCATCTGCCACCTCCTCCTCCCCGTCCGCTTGTGCATCATGCGACGCGGCCATTCTGCGACCCAAGGTCATGCAGGACGCTCCAGCCGAGGGGGTAGACACCGATTCGACGCAGTGGGGCAGGATGGGCAGGAGGGGTGGGATGCCAGATGAGGCGCGGGCGCGCCCAGCGTGCCCCGCCCCTCCCCTCCCCCCTCCCCCCTCCCCCTCTCCGTCCGCTCTCCCCCTCTCCGCCCCCCTTCTCCCCCAGAGGTCGCCGGGAGCCCCTGGAGGCCCCCCCCCGGGAGACCCCCCCCGGAGGCCCCCCGGGAGGGGTCAGGCACCCGCAGCCTCGACTATTCGGTCCGCGAGGCCCCCCCCCCCCTCTCCCCTTGGATTTTTCCCGCCTCCCCGGTCCCCGAGTCCACCGCCGGGCGGGCGCCTCCCACGGATGCCGCCGACCCCCTTGGCCTCGCGCGGACGCGTGCACGTCTCTCGGCAGGGACCCTCGAGGAGCCTGTGGGGTCAGCTCGCCAGACGCACGCGCACGCAACCGGCCCCGTGCACGGGGGATGGGCGTCCGAGCGACGGCGAGACCCCGTGGCCCTCGACGCACTGAGCATCCCAGCCCCGCGCAGCCTCCCACCCCCTCCTCCTCCTCCTCCTCCTCCTCCTCCTCCTCCTCCTCCTCCTCCTCCTCCTCCTCCTCCTCCTCCTCCTCCTCCTCCTCCTCCGCTCACCTGGCACGACCAGGTGAGCGACGGGCGAACGCGCGGTCGAATGCGCGGACGTTCGCGCGTGACCTGCCTGCGTCAGGTGGCGCGTGGGCGCCCTCGCCTCCGATGCAGCGTTCCGCGCTGGCGGCCCCCCCGCGCGTGGGCCACCGCCCATGGTCGGCATGCCCTCGTGCGCCAGACCCGTGTCTGCTCGTTGCCCAGGTGGACTACGGCAGCCTCATGAAGCTCGAGCCTGGCGCGCTCGAGCGCGTCCGCGAGGCGTTCGTCGGCCCGAAGGCCCCCCACCCCACCCAGCCCCCGCGCGCGCACACCCCTCAGGGGGCGAGCTGCGAGCGGCGAACAGGGCTCGTGAAGCTGGAGGAGCGAGGAGGTCGCGCGCGCGACCTCCAGGAGGGTCCGAAGAAACACCCTGCTTGCCTCCAGGGTGCCTGTGGTTTCTTGGGTTTCGATTGTTGTACTCTGGATATCGTGATGTTCCCACAGCAAACATGAATGGGCGTCCTGAGGTCTCGGAGTTGGGTTTCTTGTGGAAGGTTTCTTGTGGTCGGGCCCCTACTGTACGGGCTTGGAGATTTGTCCGTCACTTGCGTTTGGGTTTTCAGACAGTTCAAGAGCGCCTTGAGAACGCCCCAAGTCACTTGAAGAGGGTACCGACAAGGTCCCAAGACAGCCCTGAAGAGCCCCCCAGACGGCCCGGTACAGCCCCAGACAGCCCCCGGACGGCCCTCAAGGGCCCCCAGGAGCCCCAGAACAGCCCCGAGAAGGTTTCCAGGTGCGCCAGACAGCTCAAGAGAGCAGCACCATGATGAGCAGCCCAATGGCGCCCCGAGATGGCCCAAGAGGGGCCCAGGATCCCCCCTTCCAAAAGGCCCGAGAGGCCCCCACAATACGAGACAGACTTGAGACGGACCCAGATGGCCTCCGCAATTCTCGACTCCTTTTGTGAAGTCGACTCCTCGGCCACGAGCGCCATGCTGTCCCATGAGGCCGGGGTGACGGCGACTCGCCAGGGGCGCTCTCCACGCGTGCGCCCTCCTCCTCGGGCTGCCTTCCTCCCTCCCGGCTCCTGCATCCCTCCCTCCTCCGTTCTGCCTGCCTCCTTCGCCACCCTTTGCTCCTCTCCGCCGCCTCCTTCCCCCCGTCTTGTTCGCATGCCCTCGATGGCCCCCGGCGCCCCCGCGCTCCTTCCCCTTCCGCTCTGCACGAACGAAATAGGCACGGAAAGAATGGGTACAATGCCCAACAGCATATCCTGCTCATTTTGACCAGGACTCGCTGTCCGCGCCGCCGCGGCCTGTGTCCATTTGAGACAGAAGGCCGCTTGCCCAACAGCGCCCGCTGTTGGTTTGGGGCAACAGTTGTTGTTGGGCATTGTACCCATTCTCTCCGTACCCATTTCGGGCATCCAAAGTCTTGTTCGCATGCCCTCGATGGCCCCCGGCGCCTCCGTGCCCCTTCCCCTTCCCCTTCCGCGCATCCTCCCAAGACCACCCGGGGCGGCCCCAGCACGCATGCGCCCCACGAGAGCGCAGGAATGCTTGCGTGAGAGGGCCCAGCATGACTCAAAACCAGTGACACAAAAAGGGCCTGCGAGTACAAGAGAGGGCCTGCGTGAGAGGGCCCGGCATGACTCAACTTAGTGACACGAAAAAGAGGGTTGGGGTGGGCGAGATTCGTCGGATCACATGCGTACCGTGTGTGCGGGGCCGGGGATAGGCTCAAGTCGGGCGTGTCCCTTTACAGGAGGAGTAGTCAAGAATTGCCAAGCGTAGCCCAAACTAGTCAGGGAACGTTTTTGTTGTTGTTGTTTGCAATTTGGGGGTATGTTTTGACTGTCTTTTATTTGTCGTCCAAAATCCCCCTGTAGGAGGACATGCCCGACCTAAACATGGTGACACAGAAAAGGTTGAAGTGGGCGCAATTCGTTGGATCGCATGCGTATCGTGCATGCCTGGACGGGTATAGGCTACATACAAGATTTCGTTCAAGATCCTCATGTTTGGAGACAGCGGTTGATGGATTGTCGTGGGTAGAGTGTACGCTTGTCGACGCACCTCGGGCGTGTGGTGTCTGCCTGTCTATGACTCCAGCGCGGACCCACGAAAACCTCAGGCAGCCTCGAGCAGGTTCCGCGAAAGTCCCGCGAGAGCAGAAAACGAGGTGGAGAACCTTGCTCCTCCTGGTCCTCGTCGTCTTCATCATTCTACTCATCTTCTCCCTCAGCCTTCCTCCTCGCGTCTTCATATTTCTTCCCATCCTTCTCCTCCTCCTCCTTTCCTCCTCCTCCGTTTTTCTCCTTTCCCTTCCTCCCTCGTCCCTCACCCCCCTCGCCCTGCACCGCCTTCCAGACCACCGCCCTCCCCGCCAATCAAACAAACCAATGTGAAAGGGAGGGTCATCTCCCCCTCTTACTGCCTCCTTCGGTCTGTCTTCCCCCTCCTTCTTCTTCTTCTCCTCCTTCTCCTCCTCCTCCTCCTCCTCCAGGAGCTGCTGTGGTTTGCAGTGCAGAATGAGATCCTACCACGCCCGCTGCACCGTATATCCCATCCCGCTGGGTGGAGGTTACAATCATGCGTGGCGGTAGGGCCCAGGACGGCCTGCTGCACCAGCTCTCACTCCCCGCCGCCCGCATCGATTCTCTTACGGCTGGTTTTTGATTGTGACTTCCCGCGCATGGCGTTCAATGGGCAGATTGGAATAAGCATACACAGCTATGCATATGTATACAGATGCTCACGCCTTGCTAGCCGTTGACGTTTCATTGCTGTAGGGAGCTGGGCGTGCGGCGCTTCGAGATGAGCGCGTTCTGCAGGCGGCACTCCCGAACCACGCACGCGTACACTGGTTTTCGAAGCTCCCGACGGGCAATCCGAAGCTGTGGATTGGCGGTGTTGTACAACAGTACGCTCAGCGACACCATGCAGCATATACAATTCAGTGCCAAATCTCGTGACACCCAGGAAGGATAGCAATGACGGGTTCTCATAGTGTTGCTGCAATGGTGGCGTTCTTCACAGTTTACTTGCCGCCAGTATTCATACCTCCGTCCGTTCCCGAGGAGGTGGTAGACAAGTCCATACAGTAGTTTGCAGAGGTGGTCGGCACCATATGCCACCAGCACTTGGTCAACATGGGCAGGGGTATGAATTGCTCCTTTCGGATGCGCAGGGGGCCCGACACGACGGACATACTATCGAGCGGACGACACAGTTGGTTTAAAGAGCCCAGGGATGGAGCCGACGGTTGCACAACGTGTACGAGAGGCGCCGGAGGAGAACCACATGTCCGTACGCAGCAGCCTCTGGGATATATGACCAATTTGTTCTAACGGATGCGGCAGCAGCAAAATCGACCACTACATCATTCCGACTGAGGCCATGCAGAGGGATGGTGGCGTTACGCACGCTTAGCAGACTAGGGTTGCAATTCCAGCGGCGTGTCACAACAGGGCCGCAGGATCACGTCGCACTGCTGCTGGAAGTTGACATGCAGCTGAAGGTCTGACACGCAGGCCCCCATCACCCGCGAGTTCATCGAGATTCGCTCATGGGGGCACACGTGCAGTGACATGTGCGGGCAGACGATGGCCGCACCAGGACACTGCCATGGAGCGTAGTCGGATGACGCTAGTACATTTCGCCCACAGCCGTAGGGCTCCAGCTGCAGCGCGCCAGATGGATCCGCGCCGTCGCCAGGGAACCTGCCAACCATGAGCCCGTTATCATGGGAGTCTTCGGGGCCACGGGGTTGGACGAGCGCGCCGAGCGACGAAGTTTAGACAGCGCGGGCAAGGTTTATGAGCACCGCCCCGGGCTCAGCAGTGGTCAGGAGACCCAGGCAACGATGCGCGAGGAGTAGAATGGCACGGCGCTGTGCGGCTTGCTACCAGATGGAGGGTGCGCGTCCGAACGCAGACTTGCACGAGCGGCTGGCGCGACGCACGGGGCAGACTCGGGCTCCTCAAATAAAGCACACCAGCAGCAGCTCAGATGTTTGAGATTGACGAGCCCATAATACGCACATGGTTGTTGCAAGTACACGATGATGACAGGGCAGCATGGGGGCGCGTTGTGCACGAGGGGGGGGGGGGGGGGGGGGCGCGCAGCAGAGTGCTTGCGCACGCATGAGGTGCACAGTGGCTGGACTTGCGGCGATATCTCCCCTACAATGAAGGGCCTGAGCGCTCGCGTCGCGTTCGCTCGCCGGCTTCGGAAATAATGTTCGCTCGCCTTGCGTGCGAATGTCTGCCCGCGGTGCAGGATCTTCTCGCGCAAGGCCTCTCGTCTGAAAAGCGCGCGGACAGTGGCGTGCAAGGCGCCGGAGGAGGTCTCCCATGCGATGTGCATCCTTTGACTTTCGCCCCGAGCCTGATCCGCCTTACAAGCGCGGGCACTGCGGCATCGGGCCTCGCGAACTACGCGCGCTCTTGCAGCGCGCGTAGGGGCGCGCGCCGTGGCCGGCGGCTGAGGATGCACGCAGCGGGGCAGGCGCCGACGGCAGCGGGGGCCCGCCCGTGACCCGGCGCCCTCGACGCAGCAGGCGCCGCAGGAGCTCCACCACCTCGGCGGGCTCGCCAAGGGGGAGGGGCACCTGGGCACCGGCCTCGCCGAGCGCATGCTTCTCACATCTGGCTGGCAACGACGAGACGCAGACGCTCCCGGGGCGGCGCTCAACAGCGCGCAGATGGCCCGACACCTGGCGGGATCGATATGGGGTTTCCGCCTGATTCCAGAGGCGCTGGCGACGGAGGGCGCGAAGTGCATGGGGGCAGCCTGCGCGGAGATAGTCAAGGGGGGAGAAGGTTCTGGTCTGCCCGCATAGACGCGTCGCGGCCGCCTGAAAACAGGCCCGGGACAAGCGAAATGATCCGGGTTTTCCGCGTCAGTGCGGCCTGCGCAAAGTGCGGCTAGCCGAATGCGTGCCAGCTGCAGATCGCGCGCGGCGCCCTCGGAGCCAGCCCGCGCGCGGACATGGGGCTCGAGGCAGCGGTCAACGCAGCGATGGGACAGATGCTAGACGGAGCCTTGCCGCCGATCGAGCCCGGCCCGATCGCGGCCCAGCAGTTTCGCCGAGCGGCCCATCAGGCGGCGGCGCACTTAAGCGGCAAGCCCGCGCGGGGATCAGCGCCGCCCGCGGCGTTGGAGCGGACCCATGCAGAGCCAGCTTCGAGAGCGCGAGCAGATGCGAGGTATTCGGCTGTGAGCGTTGACGGACTCCGCCGACGGGCGAAGAAGGGGCGTGCCCGTGCTAGCGAGGTGCTGTAAATAATGGGTAGGGGAAAGCACTTGTTTTTTCTCTCCTGGCGAAGGGCTGGGCTATGCGGCGTCGGGCGGAAAGTAGTTCAACCTGCTGTCTGGCATGGCCCCCGAGCGAAAATTGGGGCGATCGACGGAACATCTTCTATTATCTACATTGGGGCGCTGGCGGGGGCGACGCGGGGGGCCCTCTTGATATAGTTCAAACATGTGCTGGGCCATCGCATGTTGCACTTCAAGCATGTGCTGGGCCATCGCTCTGACGGGGGCGTTTGTTGGCGCGTCTCTTCATTCATTTCAAACAACTACTGTGCCGTCAGCTGGTGAACCTGTCCCTTGATATGGTTTAAACGCGCGCTTGGCCCTTATCGTGGCGGGGGCGTCTCAAGGTATATCCCACGCTGCTAGTCCACCCTTTCGTTGCGCACCTCGACGCCTTCGCCGGGGATTATGTCCGCGCTCTGTCACGTGTGAGTGCGGCTGCGGTGCATGAGCGACGCACCGTAACACTTACAGCTGATTTTAGCACGCATGCGCGCTAGCGCAGTGAGCGCGTGATGCGCGTAGTCTGAGCGGTGTAAACTACGCCCTAATGTCCACAACGCGTGCACCCGAATTGACATGCAGGCTCTGCGGGGGGGGGGGCCACGGCGTTTCGCCACCCTCTCTCTGTGAAAATTCGGAGGACCGAGACGGCCTAGGGGCTGACGAGGGGCCCGAGGCTCTACAGGCCACTGTGTGTTCCCTCGGGCGCCCCCGCCGCCTCGCCTTGAACAGAACCAGCAGCCGTCGATGACGCTGACAGGCGCTCAGCGTTCCGGGCCCGTGTTCTCTGGCCTTGGCGCCGACCTATTGCCGAGGTCGTTCGCTCGCTTCTCTTCCTTCCTGGTGCTCTTCCTCCTTTTCCTCCTCCTCCTCCTCCTGCTCCTTGGTGCTGCTCCGCACCCCTTGTCCTCCTGCTGCTTCTCCCCCCCCCGGCCCTCCTCTTCCTCCTCGCCCCCCCGCCCTCCTCGCCCCCCCCCCCCCCTCCTCCCAGGGGGCGGGGGGGGCGGAGCGAGGGGGAGATGGGAGTTGGGGGCAGAGCGGCGGTCGCGCGCACGCGCGCGCCCGCAAGGCCTACGGCGCCATCGCCGTGGTCAACATCCCAGGCGCCTTGCATCTATCCTCCGTCATCCTGCATAATTGTCCTCCCCCGTTCCTCCTCGCCGTCGTCCTCTTTTTCCCCCCTTTCCAGCTCCATCCTCCCATTCCACTCCCCCGCTCCCCTGTCCTTCATCCTTCTCAATTCTCCGCCACTGTCCTCCTCCTCTTCCCTACCCCCTCCCTCCTCGTCCTCCATGCCCGCATCCTTCATCGTCCGCCTTCCATATCCATCAATATCCTCCTCTTCTTCCTCCTCGTCTTCTTCCTCCTCTTCCTCCTCCTCCTCCTCCATCTCTCGGTTCGGGGCCCTGTTGCCGAAACGGCGGCCTGCGCTGTAGCACCAGGCACCCCGGGCTTTGCAGCAGACTGGCCAGAGGACGCGGGCACGAACCCACCGATCTGCTTTCGTGTTCCTGTTGGCGGCAGCTGGTGCCTTTTCTTGACCGTCTGCTTTCTCGCGCCTTGCTCTTGCCCAATCACGTTCGGTCCGCCCCCCTCAAAGCGATTGTGTGTGCGTGTGTGCAGTATTCCGTTTTGCAAAGGTCTTACGGTGGGCGCCGCCGACCATGGAGGACCACGACAACGACGACGACGATGACGACGGCGGCGACCACGACGACGACGACGACGGCGACGACGATGACGGCGACGGCGACGGCGACGGCGACGGCGACGGCGACGACGACGGAGACGGTGACGGCGGCGCGGCAATGGTGACGACAATGACGACGACAGTGGTGGCGGAGGCGGCGGCGGCGACGACGACGGATACGGCGGCAGCGGCGGCAAAGGCGTCGGCGACGGCGATGGCGACGGCGACGGCGACGGTTACTGTGACGGTGACAGCGACGGCAACGGCGACGGCGACGGCGACGGCGACGGCAACGGCGACGGCGACGGCGACGACGACGGCGACGGCGACGACAGCGACGGCGACGGCGACGGCGACGACGACGACGACGAAAACGAAGACGACCGCGACGACGAAGGCGACGGCGACGGCGACGGCGACGGCGACGGCGACGGCGACGGCGACGACGATGGCGGCGACGACGGCGACGGCGACGGCGACGGCGACGGCGACGGCAACGGCGACGGCGACGGCGACGGCGACGGCGACGACGACGACGAAGACGACGACGACGACGACGCCGACGACGACGGCGTTGGCGGCGGCGCCGGCGGCGCCGGCGGCGGCGGCGGCGAGACGAAGACACGAAACATAAAAACGAAACTTGGTTCAAATCCATGATTTTCGCCTCGTGGGGCCCTCTTGTTTGGGCGTCTTGGAGCCCTCTTGGGGCGTTTGGGATGTCTCGAGGCCGTTTTGAGGGCATCTTGGGCCGTTTTGGAGCGATCTCGTGCTGTTTCCGGATCCTCTTGGAGCCTCCGCGGTACCAGTGAGCTCAAGGCGCCCAGAAGGCAACACATCAAGCGAGAAAGCTTCTCCCAAGAAAGGGTGCTCGCCCCGGGGGGGAGGTCACACCCCCTGGCCCCCCCCCCTTCTAACCCCTCCAACGCCCCCCTCTTCCCCCGGGCCATCCCGCATTGGCTGGGGCGGGATCAAAGGGAAGGGGTTCCTTTTCGACTCGATTACGACGTTGCTAGATTTCCCTCTGGCTGGAACGCTTGATGAGAGCCTGAGGACAGGGATTGGGGCGACGACCACAACGACGACGATGACGATAACTCAAACGGAGGAGCGTTAATGGGTGGGGTACGACGACGATGTCTCTAATGGGAAAGGCCTCTAACACACGCAGGCAGGGTCGTCGATTTCTCACGCATGTTGTTGCGGTGAGCTCCGTGGCATACCATGAGGACCCCCTCCCTCCTCCCTCGTCTCTCTTTTGTCTCTCCTGACCTCTCTTTTTGTCACCCCTTCCTCCCTCGCTCCTCCCTCTGTCCCTCTGCTCCATGTGGCTCGGCTCGCGGAATTGCCGCGCAGCGGGCTCAGACGTCACTCGTTCATCCCGACCATTGTGAGTGCTTGTAGGCACATGTGTATGTATACACATGCATGTACGTGGGTGTGCCTGTGTGTGCGCGCGCGTGTCTTTGTGTGCGTGTGTGTTTGCCCGCCCTTGGGAGATTTCTTGAGGTCCTCTTGAGGCCGCGTTTTTGATCATATCGTGGACCTGCTCCTCCTCCTCTTCCTACTTTTTCGTCAATGTCATGGCCAGCGTCCCAGGCTACGGCGGAAAAATGAAGACGGCCTTCCGCGCTGGCATCGACCTCGCCCTCAAGGACGCCGCTGGGCGCGAGAGGGCTGCTGCAGTGAACAACACGTACCCTGGCTGGAGCGGCACCCCTGGCCAGGAGACACACCCGCTGCAGAGCAGCTTCCTCTACAACGTGAAGGAGGAGGTCAACGGGAGGGTAGATCCCTACTTTGGCAAGAACATCTTCCCCAGCAAGGAGTACCAGGACAGTTTCGTGGACCTCGCGACGCCTATGCACACGGCGGCGCTGCAGGTCCTCAAGGGCTGCGACGCGGTCATCGAGAGTATCATGGCGGCAGAAGGGTCGAAGTGGTCTTCGGCATCGTCTAGACCTATCCCCCTCCCCACTGGGCCATGGTATCTAAGCCCCACTAGCCCGCCTCCCTAGGTGGGGATAGGCTCCGCGAAACCTGAAGGAACAGGCATACCATATATGGGACGTTCCCAAAACGGGCCTTGCCTCGAAGATAGAGATGTCCTCTCTTCCGCGGCGGAAGGCGGCGGATTGGGCGGCGGAAGGTCGGCGGAAGTAAAAAAAGGCCGCCTCCGCCGGCGGAAGTCGGCGGAAGTACAAGATGTGCCCCCAAGAGATGAAAGTGTTTTTGGCCTCAGGGTCTCCGAACTCGCCCATGTATTTATATTTACACATATATATAATACATACGCATATCTAATGTTTGCAAATGCGGGGGTGGGACCCTCTAAAAGGCCCCCCCTCTGCCCCTAAAACGCCCCCTCTCCACCCTCTCCCCCCTAAAACGCCCCCCCTCTCCCCCCTTTGCATGGGGGGTGGGACCCCCCCCCTCTCCCCCCTAAAACGCCCCCCTGGATCCGTGGCCCCGGGGGGCCCGACGCCATTGCAGGCCCCTCCGGGCCTTCTGGGGCCTCCTAGGCGCCCCTGCTCGGCTCATGCAGCGGGCCCCAATCGGTGAGGTGAGCGGCCGAACGGCCCCGACACCCACCAGACGCCCGAAGACGACCCCGAGAAGTCCCCCAAGACGCTGTCGAAACGCAGGAACAAAACAGCGGTTTCCGTCACCAGCACCGTTACAATCTCATCATCGTGTGTGCCTTTGGCCGACGTCGCCACGATACCGCGCCCGCCCGAATCACCGACTCGCACTGCAGTGCTCGCGCGTCAGCGCGGCCTGCGATACGCGTTGGGCCGGTCAGAGGCACCGCGGCCGCGTCGGTCGCGGCGGACTAGACGGCCGCTCTGCGCGCGAGCCTGCGCGCGCTAGCTCGGCCGCAGCGACGCGCCAGCCAGCGCCAAGAGTCATTGCAATCGCCGCCGCGTGAGTTTTTCAAACCAAGTTGCGGGTGGGTCGGCGGGTGGGATGATTCCGCGAGCTGGGGAGTTGACGATTTCAAGTCTGGCAGGGTGAGTTGCAGCGCTCGGTGGCAACACAACGATTGCGCCACGTAGATTGCACTCCGTAGATTGCACCAAGTAGCGTGCGCGACATAGGTTGCACCGCACAGAATGCATCACCTGGGCTGCACAGCAACAGCGGCACCACATGTAATGCACAGCGTGTATGGCATCACATAGATTGCCCGCGTCGAGCGCACATCATAGGTTGCACCACGTAGGTTGCACCACTGATACTGCACCGCGTAGCAGGCACAATTCATATTGAACCGCGTAGACCGCACCACATGGATTGCACAACATATTTTGCACCACGTAGAGCGCACAACATGTATTACACCACGTAGAGTGCACAGCGTCTGTTTCCTTTGTAACAAATATTTGGGCCTACCCCCCAGAATTAACGGTACCCCTTTCGAATTGCAATTTGCATGTGATTCTGCCCCATCGTCTTGCCGAAATATGAACTCATGCCTGGGCCTGGGGTGGGGGGGGGCGGAGGGGGCCGATGACGTCACGTTTCGCGCCGGCGGCGTCTGGGAATGTTTAGGAATGACCGAAGACGGGTAGCAGCAGCATGCAGGTGGCGATCTGCACTACAGCGCCTGTGTACACCACAGTGCGTGCGTGCACCACAGCGCCTGTGTACACCACACCGCTTATGTACACCACAGCAGCCGCGTGCAACACAGCGCCAATGTGCACCACAATGCTTGCGTGCACCACAGCTTTCGTCTACACCACAACGCTTGCGTACACCACAGCAGCCGCGTGCAACACAACACCACTGTACACCACAGTGCCTGCGTGCACCACAGCGCGTGTGTACACCACGCCGCCTGTGTGCACCACAGCAACCGTGTGCAACAGAACACCATCTGTTGAATATCGAACTTTCGACGGAATCATGATGACAAAGTGGAGCGCCTGTGGATTCCACAGAAAACGAGCGCTTCATATAGGATTTGGAAAGGAATCCGAATGGAACAAAGAGCGCCGCTGGAATCTACGAGTTCTTCCGAGTCCCCCCGCATCGTCCTAACTCTTCCCATCTGCGTCCGGAAGGCTCCCGCTGAATTGGCCGTCCGAGAACCAAGCGGAGTGATTTAATAGACTATTCCGCGGTGCACGCTGAGACGCGTACGTGCGCTGTAGCGCCGACCCGCACGACGGGGGGAAGCGTGAGGGAGGAGGAGGAGGAAGAGGAGGAGGAGGAGGGGGAGGATAAGGAGGAATAGGATAAGGAGGAGGAGGAGGGCGAGGAGGAAGAGGAGCAGGAGAAAGAGGAAGAGGAGGAGGAGGAGGAAAAGGAGGAGGAGGAGGATAAAGAGGAGGACGAGGAGGAGCAGGAGGAGGAGGAGGAGGAGGAGGAGGAGGAGGGAGAGGAGGAGATCCTAACCTGCATGCTTCTTGTACCTGTCCTGTGCACGCAGGCGCTGTGGTGTACACCAACGGTGCGTTGCATGCGGATGTTGTGGTGTACGCAAGCGTTGTGGTGTCTACAGGCGCTGCGGTGCACGCAAGCATTGTGGTGTACGCAGGCGCTGTGTTTCAGATGGTTGTTGCGGTGTACACATTCGCAGTGGTGTACACAAGCGCTGTGGTGCACGCAGGCACTGTGGTGTACACAGGCGCTGCGTTGCACACGGCTGTTGCGGTGCACGCAGGCGGTGTGGTGTACACGCGCTGTGTGATGCACGCGAGCAATGTGGTGTACACAGGTTCTGTGGTGCACATCGCCACATACATTCTGCTCCTACTTGTTCTCGGTCATTCTTTGGCATTCCCGGACGCTGCCAGCGCGGAGCGTGACGTCTTTTGGGGGTGGGGGGTGGGCGGGGGGGGCCGGGGCTGGTGACGGCCGGTATCCGGGAAAACAAAATATCAGGCTCATCATCCTTATGCGAAAACACAATGTGCGCGCATTCGTTTATCAAGCAACCAGTAGCTTTCAGTAATATTTTGCACAACGTGGGGTGAAGTGTGCACGGGCGCGTCGTCGCGCGCATGACAACATTTCTCAACAACCTTAGGTTCCGCAGGGATTTCAGAATTGAGTGACCCGAAACATTTATACGCACATAGGTTTGCAACAAGAGTTGTCTAAGAAAACTTGCGCCCGCGCTCTTGCGAGTTCTTACGAAAACCATTTGTTTTTCTCAGCATGTTCTTAACAAGCTATCAAATGTGTTTCTCCCGCGCGCATGTCGGAATCGTTCGAACGCCCGTGCGCGCGTGTTGTCGCCAGAACCCCTCGCAAACAACGGGGCGACATGCGCACGCGCGCGTCGTCGCGCGCGCACGCCGAAATCCGCCAGAAACCCTGAGTTTCGTCAAGGTTTCAACATCGAGCGTCCCAAAACATTAAAACACATGGCTGTGCAACGCCAGTTTTCAAGAAGGCCTGCGCTCGCGCTTTTGTGAATTCTTAAGAAAACCATGCGTTTTTCAACATCCATCGAATTCTGCCACGCGGGCCTCACGCGCCGCATGTCGAAATCATTCGAACGCCCTTGCGCGTGTGCTGGGCGGGCACATCCCGTGTCAAAAAATGCCATGCCGTCCGCTTTCGCGCCCGTCGGCCGCGCGCGCACGTCGAACTCCTTCCAAAACCTTCATCACCGACGCGAGGACGCCGTCATCGTCGTCTGCGTGGTCAGTATCGGCGCCGTCAGTTGCCTTGCCGTCGTCGTTGTCAGCATCGTCGCCAGCATCGCTACCGTCATCATCGTGTTCACCGTTGTCTACGTTGCTATGATGCCGCGCCCGCCCAAACCGCCGACCCGCACCGAAGTGCCCGCTGGGAAGTGCCCACCGGTCTGCGCCGTGGCGGCCGCGTCGGTCGCGCGAAACTACTTGGTCGTTGCGCGCGCGAGCATGCGCGTGCAGGCGCGGCCGCAGAGATGCACCGGTCGAAACGTCAGAACCAAACGCTCATCGCAATTGCCGCCGTATGGGCTATTGCAAACCAGGTGGCGAGTGGGCGGGAGGGAGGATTGCGCCAGCAGTGGAATTGACTATTTCAAGTTCGACAGGGTGACTTGAATTACGTAGATTTTGCCACGCACGCACACGCACATACACATGTGTGTATGTATGTATGTACACATATGTGTATACAGGCATACATGTCTTTATCGTCCCCATCATCAGCATCATCTTTACCATCCTAATTATCGTCACCATCATCACACTATAGAGCGCATCATTTAAACTGCACTACATAGCTAGCACACCGTATTCTGCGTCACATATATTCTCCTCTAGGATTAACATTCTCCCGCGGAGTTATCGGTTCCCTTTTCCGTATTGCATCTTGCGGATGATTTTGTCCATCGTCCATCCTAAATACGATTCTGCATTATCCCAGGCAGGCCAGTATCGACCCCCTTCATCTTCTGCCAAAGTCATCTGCGCGCGCACTCGTTTGTCAAACGTCATGAGTTTCCAGCAATTGCTTGTAACAACAAGGAAGAAGGGCACACCGGCGCATCCTCGCACGCGCATGCCGAAACCCTTCAAACCCTTTAGGTTTCGAACGGGTTTCAAAATCTAGTGCTTCGAAAACATAAACAACACATGGTTTCACAACAAGAATGTTCAGACGAAGCTTGCGCTCGGGCTCTTGCGAATTATTCTGGCATTTTTTCTCAACCCTCCTTGGTTGGGTATTCGTTTTGAATAGAGCATTGCGGTCTCCAGTTTTCCTTCTCCTCTGGTCTCCTCCTCCTCCTCCTTTCGCTTCCCGCCTCCCGCTTCCGTCTTGACTCCTTTTGCCTTGCGCGAACCTGGCCATCCCTGCGTGGCTGCGATCCGTGACGTTGTCGCCACTTTCGAGGGCTGCTGGTGGGTCCTGCGGAATGAGGCACCGCGGGGATCTGAGCAGGACCTCGCCGTCCCTGCGTGGCTGCGATCTGCGACAGTGTCGCCACTTTCGAGGGCTGCCGGTGGGTCCTGCGGAGTGAGGCACCGCGGGGGTCTAAGCGGGACCTCGCCGTCCCTGGGTGGGCTGCGATCTGCGACAGTGTCGCCACTTTCGAGAGCTGCTGGCGGGTCCTGCGGAGTGAGGCACCGCGGGGATCTGAGCGGGACCTCGCCGTCCCTGGGGGGCTGCGATTTGCGACATTGTCGCCACTTTCGAGGGCTGCTGGCGGGTCCTGCGGAGTGAGGCGCCGCGGGGATCCGAACGGGACCTCGCCGTCCCTGGGGGGCTGCGATTTGCGACATTGTCGCCACTTTCGAGGGCTGCTGGTGGGTCCTGCGGAGTGAGGCACCGCGGGGATCTGAGCGGGACCTCGCCGTCCCGGGGGGGTTGCGATCTGCGACAGTGTCGCCACTTTCGAGAGCTGCTGGCGGGTCTTGCGGAGTGAGGCACCGCGGGGGTCTGAGCGGGACCTCGCCGTCCTTGGGGGGCTGCGATTTGCGACATTGTCGCCACTTTCGAGGGCGGGACCTCGCCGTCCCTGGGGGGCTGCGATTTGCGACGCTGTCGCCATGTTCGAAGGCTGCTTGTGGGTCCTGCGGAGTGAGGCACCGCGGGGATCTGAGCGGGACCTCGCCGTCCCTGGGGGGGCTGCGATCTGCGACATTGTCGCCATTTTCCAGGGCTGCTGGCGGGTCCTGCGGAGTGAGGCGCTGCGGGGATCTGAGCGGGACCTCGCCGTCCCGGCGTGGCTGCGATTTGCGACACCGTCGCCATTTTCCAGGGCTGCTGGCGGGTCCTGCGGAGTGAGGCACCGCGGGGATTTGAGCGCGGCCTCGCCGTCCTTGGGGGGCTGCGATCTGCGACAGTGTCGCCCGTTTTGAAGGCTGCTGGCGGGTCCTGCGGAGTGAGGCACCGCGGGGATCTGAGCGGGACCTCTCCGCCCTTGAGGGGCTGCGATCTAGGGCACGGTCGCCACTTTCGAGGGCTGCTGGTGGGTCCTGCGGGGTGAGGCACCGCGGGGGTCTAAGCGGGACTTCGCCGTCCTTGGGGGTTGCGATCTGCGACACGGTCGCCACTTTCGAGGGCTGCTGGTGGGCCTTGCGGAGTGAGGCACCGCGGTGATTTGAGCGGGACCTCGCCGTCCTTGGGGGGCTGCGATCTGCGGCTTTGCCGCCACTTTCGAAGGCTGCTTGTGGGTCCTGCGGAGCGAGGCACCGCGGGGATCGGAGCGGGACCGCGCCGTCCTTAGGCGGTTGCGATTTGCGACATTGCCGCCACTTTCGAAGGCTGCTGGTGGGTCCTGCGGAGTGAGGCACCGCGGGGATCTGAGCGGGACCTCGCCGTCCCTGGGGGGCTGCGATCTGCGACATTGTCGCCACTGTCGAGGGCTGCTGCTGGTGGGTCCTGCGGAGTGAGGCACCGCGGGGATCTGAGCGGGACCTCGCCGTCCCTGGGGGGCTGCGATTTGCGACATTGTCGCCACTTTCGAAGGCTGCTGGTGGGTCCTGCGGAGTGAGGCACCGCGGGGGTCTGAGCGGGACCTCGCCGTCCCTGGGGGGCTGCGATTTGCGACATTGTCGCCACTTTCGAAGGCTGCTGGTGGGTCCTGCGGAGTGGGGCACCGCGGGGATCTGAGCGGGACCTCGCCGTCCCTGGGGGGTTGCGATCTGCGACAGTGTCGCCACTTTCGAGGGCTGCTGGTGGGTCCTGCGGAGTGAGGCCCCGCGGGGATCTGAGCGGGACCTCGCCGTCCCTGGGGGGGCTGCGATCTGCGACACCGTCGCCACTTTCGAGGGCTGCTGGTGGGTCCTGCGGGGTGAGGCACCTCGGGGATCTGAGCGGGACCTCGCCGTCCCTGCGGGGCTGCGATCTGCGACACTGTAGGGCTGCTGGTGGGTCCTGCGGAGTGAGGCACCGCGGGGATCTGAGCGGGACCTCTCCGTCCTTGGGGTGCTGCGATCTAGGACACGGTCGCCATCTTCGAGGGCTGCTGGTGGGTCCTGCGGAGTGAGGCACCGCGGGGGTCTAAGCGGGACCTCGCCGTCCCTGGGGCGCTGCGATCTGCGACACGGTCGCCACTTTCGAGAGTTGGTGGCGATCTTGAGGCCCCCAAAGCGCATCGGAAGCGAAAGGCCGAGGCAGCAACAATATTACATTCTTCTTCGGTTTTTGACAGGTGTTGGGCCTTGAAGGGGTCCTGAGGGGTCGCCGAGAGCATTTGGAACCGTCTTGTCGCCCTCTAGGGCCTCTTGCAGACATGGTGACGGCCATCGTGAGCGATCTTGCGCTATCTTGACGCATCTTGGAGGCTACCTTGGAGCAACGGAGGCCCTCTTGGAATCATCTTGAGCGAAAACGGGCCCTCTGATGACCCGCGGCCTCTCACCCAAACAAAACCTTCGGAGGGGAGGGGGACGGTGCCCCTCCCCGAAGGGTAGAGGGATTTCTTTGGAAGAGGAACGACAGGTATCGTTAGACCGCCTATGCCCAGAGGGCTGGTGGGACTTTACGTCTCGTAGGGGGTTCAACACCGAGTGTCCCGAACACATTGTTTTGGTTTAAAACACTATATATATGTATACATATGGTTTTGCAGCATCAGGCTCCAAAAAGCCTGCGCTCGCGCTCCTGCGAGTCCGTAGGGGGACAATGTTCAAATAAATTCGGCCAAACAGTCACGTCGCGCCGCACGTCGACATGATTCGAATGCCTTTGCGAGCGTTCTGGGGGGTACGATCCGTTTCAAATAATACCATGCGGGCCACTCGCGCGTCGGCCGCGTGCGCATGTCAAACTCCGTCGAACATCTTAATCACCGACGCGAGGACGCCGTCATCATCGTCGGCGTGATCAGTATGGGCGCTGTCACTGGCCTTGCCGTCGTTGTTGTCATCATTGATGCCAGCATCGCTACCATCATCATCGCGTCTACCGTTGTCGACGTTGCCAGGATACCGCGCCCACCCGCATAGCCGACTCGCACTGAAGTGCTCGCTGGGAAGGTGCCCAGCGGTCAGGGCCGAGGCGGCCGCGTCGGTCGCGCCAAACTAGCTGACCATTGCGCACGCGAGCATGCGCGGGCTAGCGCGGCCGCAAATATGCACCAGCCAGCAGCAAGCAAACGTCGCAATCGTTGCCGCATGGGTTTTGCAAACAATGTTGCGGGTGGGTTGGTGGGATGATTGAGCGAGCAGTGGAGTGGAAAACCCAGTGCGATAGGGAATTCATTGCACCACACATAACGCACAACAGATATCGCACCACATGTATTGCCCCACGCAGAATGCACAACAACGGTGGCCCCGCAAATATTTGCACACCATAGCTTGCACACGCTAAACTGCACTGCCTAGATTGCACAACGGATTGTGGTTCACGCTGGCTATCTAATGTTTTATCTTTATGCCTATTCATGTAGGTGCCTCTTTTTGTGTGAGTGCACATGTATATATATATATATATATACACTCTATATGTACATACACGCGTATACGTTTCCCACCTGGTTGGGTAAGCCTGCCAGAGGGGCCAAGGCCGCGCCAGCGGAGATAGGGACCGATAGAACGATGTCCAGGTCCTCCGCCGGGCGCAGCCTGCACCGCTTGGGCGACGAGGGCCCCGTGCTGGCCGGGCGCTTCATCTGCTACGACTCGGGCTTCACGCGCGAGGCGGGCGTGCGCGAAGACGGGGGTACGGGGCGAGGGGGCGGCGTCCTGAGAGGGCGCCCCGCCAGCTTCCGGGGAAACGGCCGTGGGGGGAGTCCTGGCGCAGGGGGGGGGCATCGATGTCGAATCGGTGCTACATTGCCGACAGATCAGCGGGAGGATCCCGATAGCAGATCCGCACGTTCCTGGGCGGGGTGGGCTATCAGCCCCCCTGTCGCCGATGCATCGCCGAGTCCAGCCCGATGTTCCCCCCTGGGTCTGTTCTCCCCAGCGCCGCCCCTCACTACTGGAAGCCACTCTGCCTTCTTTCAAGGAAAGGCAAGCATGTGACAGGGCGCGTGGGTCAGCTGCGGGTGCCGTGCCCGTACAGAACCTGCACGCCCCATTGCCAAATCAGGCGGCATCGGCTTCATGTCTCGGTGGGTACCATCCCGATCCGTGGATCCACGCGTCGGATCCACGGGTCCGTTATCCGTGTTGCGCCGGCTTGGCCGTCTTGCCCAACTTCTCAGAAGCCGTTTTGGCAGCCTCTAGTGAGGGCGGCCGATCGTTCTTACGGCGCCCCTGGCCTTCTTAGGGGGCCGCACCCTCGCCACATCCCCCCGTCGCGCGCCGCCAGCGAGGACAAGCTCCTTGAACAGCGCAAGCCCGCCGCAGAGAGTGCGGCCGCTGCCGCCGCAGCTCAGTCCGCAGTGGCGAAGACCGTCGGGCACGCGGGCGACGGGCTGGCCTCGATGCGGACGCACTCGACGCCTGTGAAGTCGGCGGGGCACGCGGGCGACGGGCTGGCCTCGATGCGGACGCACTCGACGCCTGTGAAGTCGGCGGGGCACGCGGGCGACGGGCTGGCTTCGATGCGGACGCACTCGACGCCTGTGAAGTCGGCGGGGCACGCGGGCGACGGGCTGGCCTCGATGCGGACGCACTCGACGCCTGTGAAGTCGGCGGGGCACGCGGGCGACGGGCTGGCCTCGATGCGGACGCACTCGACGCCTGTAAAGTCGGCGGGGCACGCGGGCGACGGGCTGGCTTCGATGCGGACGCACTCGACGCCTGTGAAGTCGGCGGGGCACGCGGGCGACGGGCTGGCTTCGATGCGGACGCACTCGACGCCTGTGAAGTCGGCGGGGCACGCGGGCGACGGGCTGGCCTCGATGCGGACGCACTCGACGCCTGTGAAGTCGGCGGGGCACGCGGGCGACGGGCTGGCTTCGATGCGGACGCACTCGACGCCTGTGAAGTCGGCGGGGCACGCGGGCGACGGGCTGGCCTCGATGCGGACGCACTCGACGCCTGTGAAGTCGGCGGGGCACGCGGGCGACGGGCTGGCCTCGATGCGGACGCACTCGACGCCTGTGAAGTCGGCGGGGCACGCGGGCGACGGGCTCGCTACGGCACGGACATCTCCGGCAACTTCGAGGCTTGTGGGCATGGGGGACCAGCCGGCGCTGGGGCGGGCGCTGCCGGGGTCCATCACGCCCCTTCGCGCGACGAGCGAGGCGCGTGCGCTCACCACGGAGGCAATCCCGTCCAGCACGGGCTTCCCGGAGGAGTTCGCCTTCGACACGTCGAGCCTCGGCGATGGTCAGGCAGGCACCGACGCTGCCGCGGCCGCGGGTGCGGCGGACGTTGTGCTCCGTGCGCCCGGGCCCGAGGTGGGCGCGGAGGAGGACGTGGGCGAGTACTGGCTCCCCTGGCACATCGACTCGAACTTTGCCACCATCCTGCACAGGGAGGTGTACGCCCATGAGCACGACGCGTCGCTCGCCCCAGAGCCAGAGGACCAGGGGCCGCCGCGAGGGCGCGAAGTTCCTCGCGGTCCGTGGTTCGCGTTCCCCCCTCCTTCTCATCCTCGTCCTCACCTTCTCCCCCCGACCGTGGGCGGGCCGAGAGCGCGAAGCTCTTCGCGCTTTTCGGCCAGCGCGCTGCAGCGAGCGTAGCTGCCCTTACAGTCGGCCCAGATTAGTAGGTCGACCCTGCCGAATCAGGGGTACCCTTGTGCCCTGTGTCTCGCGACCTATGCCTCCTACATTCCCGTGGCAACGTGGCCCTCGGAAGGGTCTTGTGTCCTCTTGCGTGTCCTGTCCAATCGAGTCCAATTGTACAGTGCCGTTTTTAATGCATGCTTCGCGTGCGGATCATGTATTAAACATGCAGGGTTCTAGTCTTAAAACAACGATGAGCTCATGCATAAATTCATTCATAGATTAATCATGTATCAAAAACCATATATGTTGAAACATCATATGTATTACAAACTGCCCTGAGGACGCGGGCCTCCTCATGATGAACGAGGTGGGCGACGTGGCGAAGGCCGAGACGGACCCGGACGCCGTGATCCTGCAGATGGGCGCCTTCGGGCAGATCTACTCCGGCGGGGTGCTCGCCGCGTGCCGGCACGCCGTGGTCAGCCCGCGGCCCCCCGGCATCGCCCGCTTCAACTACTGCAACTTCTGGTACGCGAAGTGGACCGCAGAGTGGGGGAAGGGTGCCCATGCACAGGGGAACGAACCATGACATAAACATAAAAACTCGGAGGTCCGCGCGGATTTCTCGGATCGGCGCTGGGGCCCCCCGGCGGCGCCTCCGGCGCCGCCCCTGGCGCGCTCCGCGCGCCAGGGAGGGGGGTCCAGCGCCGATCCGAGAAATCCGCGCGGACCTCCGAGTTTTTATGTTTATGTCACTTTTTGTTCCCCTTAAGGGGGCCCATACAGTTCACGGGGCGCGTTCCACTACGCGCAAAGTGCCCACTCGCAAGCGCCCGAAAAGAACACGCGTGTGCTTCGATGCGATTTATCGTGGATCCCCCGCGGCGGATCCAGGCGATTTGCGAGTAGCTACTTTGCGAGTGGTGGAGCGCGCTCGTCGAACAGTGGGGGCGCGCATGAAGAAACCATGTGCTTTTCGTCAGGGTGTCCTGGGTTTCTTCGCTCCGCGCGCTGCGCGGTGACTTCCCGCAGCCGTTGAGGAAGCTGCTGCGTTCGGGGTGCTCAGGGTCCCCCCTCAGGTGCACCTCGCGCACGGGTTCTCAGGGTTGAATTTCTTGCGAGGGTTTCTTGCGGCCCGCACTGTACCGCTACCCCTGCCTCCTTTTCGCTGGACTTCCTGGGAGGCCCTCGTCGCCATCGCCGGACTCGCCTCGAAATTTGGGTCAGGACGCACCTCCACGAGAGGGCCGTGGAGTTGCGGCATCGGTGCTTCTTTGGTTTTCCCAGGAACACCGTGTGCGACACGCCAGCTGGCTTCGAACACAGGGCCGTGAACAGAGGCTGGAACGCCATGATGGACGACAGCTACCTGGACATCACCATGAAGCAGGGCTTCGCGTCGTTCCGGAAGTTCATGGTGTCTCCCGAGGCCGAGGCGCAGTTCGCAGACACCGTCAGGTTCAAGGAGCTGTCGGAGCTCATGCCCATGCCCGCGCGCGTGGTCCCCGCGCAGGCTTCGGCGCTGCAGGCGGAGCGGCGCTCAGACCTGGTCATCGACGTGCTCACGGACGTGCGCTGCCCGTTCTCCGCGCTGAGCCAGCGCAACCTGGACCGCGCGCTCGAGAGTCTCGGGCTCCGCGACCAAGTGACCTTCCGCTACCATCCAGTGTTCCTGAACCCCAATGTGCCGAAGGAGGGCGAGAGCCTCGACGACTACCTTCTCCGCGAGTACGGATATTCCAAGGAGTACGCTCACTCGGAGGACTATCCGATTCGGCTGGCCGGCCTCGAGGCCGGCATCAGGTTCAATCCGCACCGCCGCGTGATCAACACGTTCGACGCGTTCTGCCTCATCGAGGTCGCGTCGGCGGTGGGCAAGCAGGACGAGGTCGTGAAGGCTCTGTCGCAGCGGTACTTTGAGGATCCCAGCCGTTGCACATTCCTTTGCGCCCGCGAGCATGTGACGTCAGCGCGGCGAGAAGGCCAGGCGCAGAGTGAGGGAGGAGGCCGGAGGGTCGGAGAAGGGAGACGGGACGAGGAGGGAGGGAGGATGGACAAGGGGTGGGGAGCTAGGAGCGAGCAGGCAGGGGGAGGACGAGGAGCAGGAGGTAGAGCAGGAGAGGAATGATGAGGAGGAAGCCGAGGCCCGTGCGTTGCTGCCAGCCGTCAGGTTCATCAGGTGCAGATGGCAGTTGACTTGTGGACATTCTTCGGGTACGCTCGAGGAGGGGAATGATGAGGATGATGAGGAGGCAGCGGCAGCGGAGGGGGAGGATGGCCGTCGGACCTAGCATATTTATACCTATACGACCACCCTTTGGGTGATAAGGAGTAAGTTTGCGTGTAGGGTGAGCCAACTGACGACAACTGACAACTGCGATAATTGTGGTGGTGCCTATGCTGGTGGTGCGCTCGCGAGCTGGAGACGATGCATGATGACGATGCCGGTGACGATGCATGATGGCGATTGTGATGGTGACGATGCAGGCCGCCATGGGGCGGACTGCTGTGGTGATTGTGATGGTGATGGTGGTGATGGTACTGCTGTGGAGCGCTTGAGCCAGACTGCTGTGGTAACGGTGATGGTGGTGATGGTATTGCTGTTCTGCATCGGCGATGCTGGGATGATGGCGGTGATGGTGGTGATGATGGTGGTGGTGATGATGCTGATGGTCACGATGGAGACATCGAAAAAACCCAACACCCATCGGAGAACCCTCAAACAACCACCTGGACACCTGGGAGACAACCGCGTGACAACCACAGGACCACTGAGAAACCATAGGGGCATCACTAGGACACCATCGGGACACCATCGGGGCACCATCGAAACACCATGAGGAGGAGCACCTGAAGACACTGCGGGGGAAAATCAATGACACCATCGGGGCACCATCGGGACACCATGTGGAGACCATCGGCGGGACACCGTGTGGACACCATTGGAACACCATCGGGGCACCGTTGGGACACCACTGGGGTACCAGCTGGACGCCATCGAGACACAATCGGGGCACCATCATCCCCCCTGCAGTTCGCCACGCTTTTGCGGGGACAGCTTCTGCTGCCGTTTCTGTTCCTGTTGAGCGTCTTGACGTGCAGCTTCGCGGGCCGTCGCCAGACGATCCGGCACCTCTTCTGCAGCATCGTACGCTACTTCAGCCACCGGTCCACGACGTCTGAGCTGTGGGAGCTGCGTTTTCTGGGGTCCCTACAGGGTCCTTTTCGAACCGATCGATTCGATTCGAGATCGCCTTTGGCCGGCCCGATCCGAATCGACTCTGGTATTCCGACGATCCGACGCGGCCCGATGTTAGCATGGCGCCGTGTTGCATCCTGGCGCAGCCGATCCGATCCGATTCCGGCTCCGTGCCGCTGCAGCCCGATCCGGCGAAGGTTTCGACTCGATCCGATCTCCCGATCCGATGCCGACTGATCCTGCCCGAGCGCTCCTCCTGCCGTCTCTGCAGCCGCGAGGGAGGCGCGGGTGCCGGGCCGCCAGCTCGTGACAAGCTGGGCGGCCCGCCTGCGAGCCAGGTGGAGGCACCGAGGAGAAAAGAGTCCCTGACCTTACGTCGGGCCTGTCCCCCTACAGGGGGATTTTCGACGAAAAATACAAGATACCCCAACAATAGTCAAAACATAGTCCAAACATAGTCTGGGGACTATTTGTTTTTTGGTATTGTTTGACCTTTCTTGGGGCATTTTTGGGGTATTTTGTTTTAATTTTTCGTCGAAAACCCCCTGTAAGGGGGACACGCCCGACATAACCCTAACCTTTATAACACTGAGGACGTGGCCTCACTTCGTTAGGTCCCAGTCTTCGCATTTTGGAAAATAGACCTGGGCGGTTCGCTCTGTCTGATACAGCTGCAGGAGCAGAGCCCCTGTCCCTAATGTCTTTGGCCCTCCTAGCTCTGGTGCCCTCCGAAAGGGCTACGGGGTACTCTATTGCTTCTCTTGGAGGGCGACCTGGCGACTCCCCACTCCTGGCGCGCTGGCGCTCGTCGTGGAGCCAGGGGCGTCGCCTGCTGTGTGGGCTGCGCGCGCAGACAGCCCCCCCCCCCGCACGTACACATTGTTCGTGTCTAATTATTCGGAAGTTCTTTGATTTGTTGGGGGGCCAAGATCCTTTCATGTCTAGTTGTTCTATCCCGGCCTCTACCTGACCACTAGGGGGCCAGGGACAATTAGAAACGAGCACAATTAGAAATGAGCACGATTAGCCGTAGCCATTTTGGCTCAAGCCTCCAGCGGCCGCGCTTCGGGCGAGGGGGCGGCGCTCGACGCGCTGCTCAGGCGGGAAGCTGGGTCCTCCGCGGCGGCGCGCCTCCTGCGATGGCGGCGGCCTGGGCGGCGGGGCGCAATGGCTGCGGGGGGCTGCCAGCCTGCTGGCAGCCCAAGGCGCTCAGGCAGCAGGAGAACCTGGTGCTGGGCCCCTCGGCGGCGAGACGGGCGGCCAGGCGGCGGTGCTTGAGGGCGCTGGAGGCCTGGTGCCATGCCGTGGCGGGCCCCTGCAAGCCGGGGTCATGGCAGGACCGCGAGCGGGCGGCCAGGCCCGCCTTGGTCAGCGCGGTGGAGGGCCGGCGGGTGGCGGGCGCATCGCGCCGGCGCCGCAACGCGGCTATCCACGCAGCCTGGGCCCCTCCGAGCGGCTTCCTCAGGGCGACCGCCGAGGAGATCGCGGAGGTGGCGCAGGGACCCCGCCTGGGCTTTCAGCTCGAGGCGGAGGAGGCCGAGCACGGGAACTGCGACGTGCGCGGCTTCGCTGAACCTGTCGAGAGCGAGAGCGAGCAAGAGAAGCGGGCACTGGTGCCGCTCAGCGTGTACTGGGAGGCGAAGCTGAAGCCCGACATCAGGAGGGGCAGCAAGTGGCTCGGGGTCGAGGGGAAGGTCATCCACGTCGCCGAGCTCGAGCCGAAGTTGCTCACCCTGGCGTGTTCTCTTTCCAGGGCTCCTTGGCGGCAGCGGGGGCGGAGGAAGGAGGACGATGAGGACGATGATGGGCCCATCCAGGAGGCGTCGGAGGACGGCGTCGGAGCGGGCAAGTTTGCTGGCACGGAGGTCGGCAGCGAGGACGAGTCGGACGGCAACGACGACTCACAGAGCGTCAACCACACGGCGTCGCAGGGCACAGTGCTCAACGGCGGAGGTGGGCTGGCGCCAGGCGTTTGGCAGGAGGCCGACCAGCGAGCGGAGGCAAGGGCCTTCGCGCACGGTTTGGCAGCAGGCTGGCGGCTGGCCGAGAGGGGCGGCCACCAGCAGACCGCGAAGGAGGCTGTGGAGGTGGCAGCTCCGCAGGACGATGTCGACGCGTGGCGCGGGGCGATCGTGAAGTTCTTCGAGCCGTGCGAGTGCGTATCGCTGCTGCAGGAGATGCATCTGGAGCAGCCCCGAGGTGGCGGTCAAGGAGTCGAGGGCGTTGGCATGAAGTTGGAGTCCGAGGTGGTGGACACCGGCGTCGGCGCCGAGGACGGCGTGCGCATCTTCGATGTGGTGCGCTGCTTTTTCGGAGTGGCCTAGTGGCTGCCTGCCGTTACAGCTCGCGTGCAGCCGTTGCGCCGCGAAGCATTGCCACGGCAAAATTTCAAATGAGCACGATTAGAAATGAACGACGTGCACTCGGGGGGCCTCTCGAGGCCAGGTGGGACTGCCTGGGAGGGCCGCCCGCGCGCAACCCGAAGCCCTCCCGCTGCTGTGCGTGGATCCCTCCTGAGGCCAAGTGGAGGTGGGTCCGTGACGGTCGCCTTGTGCCCCACCGGGGGTGCCTCTTCCACGAGCGGGCGTGGGCTTGTTGCTCCCGTTCGCCGTGCAGTGGCGGGCGAGGCCCAGTGCAGCGCCCAGGGCCGCGCGGGCACTCCGTGGCACCGCGGAGCGGGAGCTGGTGGCTCGGCCGGCTCGGGAGCTGCCGAGGTGGACAAGGGCGGGCATCCGCTGGCAGCAAGCTTATTCGGTAGCAAGTCATGGGAGCCTCGTGAGCCCTCGCAACTTTGTCTTCCGCGTCGACCAGCGCCGATTAGCGTCTGGGTGTCGATGAGATAGCGCCGATGTAGCGTCGGTTAGCGTCGATCGGCGTCAATTCGCAAGAGCCGGCAAGATGGTATGGGAGGCTCCCATGAGTTGCCACCCAATCTGGCAACAAGCTGACATTGTGAAGATGGCGGTCCGCCGTCCTCAGGCTGCCAAGGTTCGTGATCAACGACAGTGCCCGCGCGCAGAACTGCGCTGAGCTGTGGTGCTAGTGGCTAGTGGTGCCAGTCTCTTGAGGGGTCGCCCCCGTTCCGTGCTCTTAGTGGGCTGCGCGCCCCATCTGCATTTAGGCTTAGGTCGGGCATGTTCCCATACAGGCGGATTTCGGAGAAAACAATTTAATATTCAGCGTATATTCAAACATAGTCAAAGAAATACAAAACAGTCTTCCCCAGAGTATTGTTTGACAATTTTTGAATATCCCTCCTGCAGAGGACACGCCTGACTTAGGCTCTCCTTTTTTTTCTATGCGCAGACTCAACGTCGCGCACCGCGTCGCTCCTGCCCTCCTGATGGGTCGCCCCCGCCCCGCTTGCCCCAGGCCTCTGTTGACCTTGTGCACGGCCTTCATGACTGGCTGCTGCCCCCCCCGGCTTTGTGTGTGTGGGCTCGTCGTGCGCAGCGCAGCCTCTGCCGTTGTCTTGCAGTGCGTGTGTCCCTGCCTTGTCCGCGGGTCGCCCCCGCCCCGCCCGCTCTTGGGCGCCGGCTCTGCGCGGCGCCTCTTGCAGATTCAGGAGCGAAAGACGCACACTCACACGAGTCCACGCTGGCATCACTCGAATGTTCGTATCGCGCGGCCGGTCTTGGCGGATCGAAGGGCCGTGCTCATGCACATAGCTGGGCGCGTACGTCCTTTGCGGGCTCCCTACAGGTGTGCCTCTTGCCTTCTGCAGCCCCAGCTGTGTGGCTAAACGCTGGGCGACGGGGCCGTGTTCATGGACATAGCTGGGCCCGCACGTCCTTGGTGGGCGCCTGCTCCAGATGTGCTCCTTGCCTTCTGCAGCCGCCTCGTGTGGCTAATCGCTGGGCGACGGGGCCTGCCTGCGTGCTGCTGGTAGCCAGCTGCCTTTCGGAATGTGCTCCTTGCCTCCTGCCGCCGCGTCGTGTGGCGAACCGCTGGTCGCTGGGGCCCGCCTGTGTGCTGCTGTGTAGCCAGCTGCCGCTCACAGGCCGCCGCGGCCCTGCCTGGCTCGCAGCTGTGCGTGTGCTCCGCGCGCTTCTCGCTCCGGAGGCGCTTCCCTTCTGCCCCCCCCCCCCCTCCTCCTCCTCGACCTCCTCCTCCTCCTCCTCCACCTCCTCCCTCCTCTCCTCCTCCTCCTCCTCCTCCTCCTCCTCCTCCTGGCGCTTCGCGCGACGGACTCCTTCAGGGCTGCGTGCCCTCCTCCTCCTCCTCCCCCCCTCCTCCTCCTCCTCCCCCTCCCCCCTCCCCCTCCTCCTCCTCTCCTCCTCCTCCTCCTCCTCCTCCTCCTCCTCCTCCTCCTCCTCCTCCTCCTCCTCCTCTCCTCCCTCCTCCTCCTCCTCCTCCTCCTTCCCCGCCTCCTCCTCCTCCTCCTCCTCCTCCTCCTCCTCCTCCTCCTCCCTCCCTTCCTCCTCCTCCTCCTCCTCCTCCTCCTCCTCCTCCTCCTCCTCCTCCTCCTCCTCCTCCTCCTCCTCCTCCCCTCCTCCTCCTCCTCCTCCTCCCTCCTCCTCCTCCTCCTCCTCCTCCTCCTCCTCCTCCTCCTCCTCCTCCTCCTCCTCCTCCTCCTCCTCCTCCTCCTCCTCCTCCTCCTCCCCTCCTCCTCTTCCTCCTCCTCCTCCTCCTCCTCCTCCTCCTCCTCCTCCTCCTCCTCCCCTCCTCCTCCTCCTCCTCCTCCTCCTCCTCCTCCTCCTCGCCCTGCCCCGTCTCACGGGGTAACATCGGGAATCTCTGAGACCCTGCCCCCGAAGCTGGGCGCACGCCCCGCTGGGCCCTCGAGATTCTCATTGCTCTGAGGCCGCTGGGAGCACTCAGAGAGATTTGTCGCTCGCTGCTCGGGCGCCGCCCTCCTCCTCCTCCTCCCCTCCTCCTCCTCCTCCCCTCCTCCTCCTCCTCCTCCTCCTCCTCCTCCTCCTCCTCCTCCCTCCTCCTCCTCCTCCTCCTCCTCCTCCTCCTTCTCCCCGGGGGCAGTCTGTTATGATCAGGGTTGGACCTGAACGGTATTTTGGCGATTTCGTGGGCCGTTTTCGTTTCGATTTCGTTTTGCGGTATATGCGGATCTAAGACAGAACGAGGGGAAACGAGAACAGAACGAGAACGAAAAACACCGTTTAGGTTCAGCCTTGGTTATGATGGCATGTTCCCAACAAGCATACACGCGGAATTTTCACGCATGGTGCAACAGTTTCGTTCGAGCACGGTCCATGCCTGAACCATCGTTGGGCGCGCGCGCGCGCCTCTCCCCTCCCCTGGCGCCCGCCCTTGCGTGACCAGACTGCCGCCTCTCGATACGCTGGGCCCTTCCATCTTTCTTCCCTTTCTCACCTTCCCCTCCTTCCCTCCTCCTCCCGCCTGCTCCTCCCCTTCTGCCCTCCTCCCCCACTCCTTTTCCCCCTCCTCTTCTGCTCCGCTCCCTTTCGCCTCCCCTCCTCCTCCTCCTTCTCCTCCTCCTCCTCCTCCTCCTCCCCACCTCATCCCCCTCCCCCTTTCTCCACGCTTTCCACTCCGCATAGTTGTCTTCTGTTACATCAGATCCTTCTCCCCTCCTTATGCTCCGCTCCTTCTTCCCTCCTCCCCTCCCCTCCTCCCCCTCCCATTTCCCATTCGCCTCGTCCTTCGCCTCCTCTTCCCCCTCCTCCCCTCCTCCCCTCCTCTCCCCCCGCCTCCTCCTCGTCCTCCTCCTCCTACTCCTCCTCTTCCTCCTCCTCCTCCTCCCCCTCCTCGAACCCCCATCTCTCTCTTCAGAAACCGTCCCCTGGATTTCTCCCGGACAACAATGTCGAGGCGGACCCAGCGGTGGCAACGAGAACTCCAGAGGCACCAACGGGGGGAAAAACGCTTCAAACCTCGTCCTTCGATCCTCGATCCTCGATTTTCCTCCCTCCTCCTTCTTTTCCTGCCCCTCATCCCCTTCTCCTCGCCTTGTCCTCCTTTCCCCCCTACCTCATCCTCTTCCTCCTCCTCCTCATGCACCTCCTCCTCCTCCTCCTCCTCCTCCTCCTTCTCCTCCTTCTCCTCCTCCTCCTTCTACTCCTCCTCCTTCTCCTCCTCCTCCTCCTCCGCCTCCTCCTCCTTCCCCTCCTCCCCCCCGCCCCGTCGGCAAGGAAGCCGAGGACATCTCCGACCCCGCGGTGCTTCGCCTGGCCGCGGAGCAGGCGGGCCTGAGCGGGGAGATGGCGGCGGCGTGGATGCGGGAGCGCTCTGGGGGCCGCCCCGCCCGCCGAGCTTAACCAGTGATGATGCTGACGATGATGATGATGATGCTGCTGATGGTGATGCTGATGCTGATGGTGAAGATGATGTTGATGATGGTGATACTGGTAAGGATGATGATGATGATGATGACGATGATGATGATGATGATGAGGATGTTGATGATGATGATGATGATGATGTTGCTGCTGCTGCTGATGATGATGATTATACTGCTGGCGATGATGATGCTGATGCGGCTGATGATGATGATGATGGTGATGATGACGAAGATGCGGGCGATGATGCTGATGATCATGATGATGATCATGATGATGATACTGATGATGATTATGATGCTGATGACGATGCTGATGAGGTTATTGATGATAATGATTGTACTGCTGATGCTGATGATGATGCTGATGACGATGTTGATGCTGATGGTGATTGTAATGGTGCTGCTGATGATGCTGATGATGATGCTGATGATGGTGATGCTGATGATGCTGATGCCAATGCTGGTGATGATGCTGCTGCTGATGATGATGACGATGGTCATGATGCTGACGATGATCCTGATACGGATGATGATGGTGATGCTGATGGTGCTGATGATGCTGCTTCTGATGATGATGCTGATCATTGTGATGCTGCTGATGTCGATGCTGATGCTGATGGTGATGGTGATGGCGATCATGATGCTGGTGGTGGTGATGCTGATGGTGATGCTGATGATGATGTTGCTGCTGATGCTGATTCTGATGATGATGCTGCTGCTGGCGATGATGATGCTTATGATGATGATTGTGATTCTGATGCTGATGACGATGATGGTGAGTATGATGCTGATTACGATTATGATGATGCCGACGAACACGATGTTGATGGTGATGATGCTGATGATGATGATGCTGCTGATGTTGATGGTGATGCTGATGCTGATGCTGGTGATGGTGGTGATGATGGTGTCGATGATGCCGATGATAACGATGCTGATGGTCATGATGCTGATGATGATGCTGCTGGTGATACTGACGATGATGCTGATGATGAGGGTGATGATGTTGACGAATATGCTGATGCTGATGGTGATGATGGTGCAGATGATGATAATGATGGTGATGCTGATGATGATGATGCTGATGATGCCGATGATGATGGAGGTGGTGCTGATGATGCTGCTGATGAAGATGATGATGATGATGCTGCTGATGATGATGGTGATGCTGATGCTGTTGCTGCTGATGATGATTATGATGCTGATGATGATGATGATGACGACGATGATGATCATGATGATGATGATTATGGTGCTAATGATGATGATGATGATGATGATGATGATGATGCTGATGATGGGACTGCTGATGATGATGCTGATAATGATGATGATGATGATGTCGATGATGATGATGATGATGCTGATGATGATGATGATGACGATGATGATGCTGATGCTGCTGATGATGATGGTGATGCTGATGCTGTTGCTGCTGATGATGATTATGATGCTGATGACGATGATGATGACGACGATGATGATCATGATGATGATGATTATGGTGCTAATGATGATGATGATGATGATGATGATGATGATGCTGATGATGGGACTGCTGATGATGATGCTGATAATGATGATGATGATGATGTCGATGATGATGATGATGATGCTGATGATGATGATGATGACGATGATGATGCTGATGATGATGATGAGATGATGATGATGATGATGAATGATGATGATGATGATGATGATGATGATGATGATGATGCTGATTGCTGATGATGATGATGATGATGATGATGATGATGATGAGATGATGATGAGGAGATGATGAGGAGGAGGAGGAGAGGAGGGAGGAGGAGAGGATGAGGAGGAGGAGGAGGAGGAGGAGGAGGAGGAGGAGGGGGAGGAGGAGGAGGAGGAGGAGGAGGAGGAGGGGGAGGAGGTGGATGAGGAGGAACAGGAGCAGGTGCTGATGTAGATTTAGATGAGGCGTTCCAGACAGGGCCTTGCCGTCGAGAATCGAGGGAATTGTCATTTCTTCCTCGGTGGAAGGCGGCGGAAGGATGGCGGAAGGTGGCGGACGTAACAAGTGGCCGCCTCTGTCGGCGGAAGCTGGCGGAAGGGCGGCGGAAGGGTGGCTGAAGGTGGCCGAATTAGAACAACGCGTCCCCAAGAGAAGGCAGCATCTTTAGGCTCAGGGCGTCCGCAATCCGCCACATGTTGTTGATGGTGTGCGGTCCTTTCCCCGTGGAGTCTCAAGCAGCAGCAGGAGCAGGAGCCAGAGGAGGCAGAGCTGGAGGACCTGAGTAAACCCAGGATGCAGCATCGGTGCTGCAATACACGCTCCCGTCCCATACAGTCAACCCGCATAGTAAGGATGGGCATCCTTCCCAAGGGTACCCTTGCATCCTTGCCTCCTCGGTCCATCCTTCGCCACTTTCGTCGGCCGCGCCCCGCTCGACGGCTTCGAAATGGGCGTCCAAGGCTCTCGCATCCTCATCGCGCATCCTTGCTATACGGGTTGACTGTATCCCCTGTCATAAGCCCCCGCTCGTCTTCCTGCACTGCGCGAGGCGCCCCAATTTGAAATACGAGCACTGCTCTCTGCGCCTGCCTGTCAGACGCGAGGGCCCAGTTTCAGCAAATTAGCTGCGAGGTGCGCAGGTCTCCAGAGGCGGAGGAGGATGAGCAGGAGGAGGAGCAGGAGGAGGCGGAGGAGCAGGAGGAGGAGGCGGAGGAGGAGGAGGAGGCGGAGGAGGAGGAGGAGGAGGAGGAGGCGGAGGAGGACGAGGAGCAGGAGGGAGGCGGCGGGGAGGAGGAGGAGGAGGAGGAGGCGGAGGAGGAGGAGGAGGAGGAGGAGGAGGAGGAGGAGGAGGAGGAGGAGGAGCAGGAGGAGGAGGAGGCGGAGGACGAGAGCCCTCTAGCGACTTGTGAAGGCTCCGACAAGGTAGGATCATGAAGTTCAGCGAGGTGTCCAGCGAGAGCCCCGCTCCTGGCAGGACACCGCCCCCATTCTGTGGAACTTCGGGAGGTGAAAAACACACACAGACACCATAAATCGTCGAACCCCAGGAAAATATCGGAACATGTGGGAAGTGTGTGTGTGGGGGAGATGCACACCCAGAAGATCTGGGAACATATGGGGGATGCTTGGATTTGTGTGTACTAATATATTTGTGTGTTCCAAAGCCCCTCCAGAACTTATGCACAGTAGGAGGAGGAGGAGGAGGAGGAGGAGGAGGAGGAGGAGGAGGAGGAGGAAGAGGAGGGCGGAGGAGGAGGAGGGCGGAGGATTAGGAGGAGGAGGAGGAGGAGGAGGAGGAGGAGGAGGAGGAGGAGGAGAAGGAGAAGAGGAGGAGGAGGAGGAGGATGAGGAAGGCGGAGGAGGAGGAGGGCGGAGGATGGCGGAGGAGGAGGAGGGCGGAGGAGGGCGGAGGAGGAGGGCGGAGGAGGGCGGAGGAGGAGGAGGAGGAGGAGGAGGAGGAGGAGGAGGAGGAGGAGAAGGGAGAGAGTGTCTCTGGAGGTCTCCACAGGCCCCCGGAGGCCTGGTGAGGCCTCCGTAGGCGCCCGGCTATGCTACATATACTCTAGGAGGAGGGTACACATTGTCTTGGCATCGTTCGGACGTGTGCATCTTTTCTCGGCGAGAACCATCGAGGACCATCCTGGACCATCGAGCACGAAATACACGCACGAAACCGGAAAATGCACGGGAAATGGACGTCCGAGCGACGGCAAGTTGTTCATTTCTAATTCTTCGCGAGTTCTTCGATTTTTAATGGGGCCGAGATCCCCTCGTTTCGAATTGTTCTAGCCTGAGCCTCTCCCTGGCCACTAGGGGGCCAGCAACCATTAGAAGGGAACACAATTAGAAATGAGCACGATCAGAAATGAACGACGTGTGTGTTGCAGACTGGCTAGTTGAATATGCGCGGCTCGAAGGTGCGAGCCCCATGCCAGAAACGAACCGGCATCCGTCCTTGTAGCCCTTGTACCTTTTGAAAGGCGGGTGTGCGCGGCGCCAAGGCGATGGCTCCATTTTGAAGAGGAGTCGTTCTCCGTCCTTGGCTGTTGCAAGCTTGCCGGGGGAATGTGCGTGGCACTAAGGCAAGGGCCCCAGTTTGAACAGCATCTGGCCTCAATCCTTTGCAGTTGTTGCAAACTTTAACAACCCGAATGTGAGCGGCGCTCAGGTTAGAGCCCAATGATAAAAGCTACCGCCCTCCATCCTTGTAGCGGATGCAGAATTCGGCACATGCGGTAATATGTTTAGGAGGTGTGCTTTGCCTCTCTCTCTCTCTCTCTCTTTCTTCTTCTCTCTCTCTCTTTCCCCTTGCCCGGTCCCCCCTTCTGGGCTTTGCTGGGTTTTTGCAGTTGCTCGTCCACGACAGTCGGTCATAGTTTTAACCCTGACGCTGCGAATAGCCATCGCACCGCGGCGTTTCACCCTGGAGGTGGCAGCTGCTTGTGGGGTTGTTTGCCATCAGCAGATCACTTGTAACACGTTGAAGACGTGTCAGGCAATAACTGAAGTTTGAAAATGATATGGCATCCACCCGTGTAGTTGTGGGAAGCATTTTAAGACGATTGTGCACGGCTTTAATGCGGCACCTCCCGTTTTGAAGAGGAGCACCCCTCCATCGTTGTAGCTGCTGTGAACTTTACAGACGAATGTGCGCGGCGTACAGACGAGGGCCCAAGCTTGCAAAGGACCCAACATTGGCGACTTGGTTCCGTCACGTGATGCGAATCGGAGGAGGAGTAGGAGGAGAGGGATATACAGAGGAGGAAGAGGAGGGGGGTTCGGTGGGGAGGGGGGAACTTCGCCTCACGCGACAGAATCCTTGTGCCTACAGTATCCGTCTGTGTAGCTGCTGCATGTGCTTCAGCTTCGGGATCGTGCGGTGCAGAGAGTCTTGAGCGGAGTTCTGGAGCCGGCCTGCGGACACGCTTGGTGCTTCAGGGAGCAGATCTGTTCGAGACGCGCATCTCAGCGAGGCCCGGGCGATGTCCGCAGCGGTGGTCGTGTCGTATCGTATCGTATCGGGGTGGAGGACCCAGACCCCCTCGAGCAGTGAAGCATCACGACGGGAGGTTCTTCGCCATGTTCGACACTGGGGGCCCTTACCTGGCCTCAGGGCCGTTAAGAAACGACTCAGGATGAGAAACGGGTCCCTGGGGATGGGTCCAGACCTCTGGGGGCCGACGTAATGAAGGAATCGTGACGTCGGGGGGTCTGGGGGTGGAGACGGGAGGCAGGAGGAGGATGGAGAGCCACCCTGGTGGATTCCGGGCACCTGCCTGGTGGCCGAGGCGGGCCCTTCCCGCAGGGGAGGGCCGAGGCACGGGGACGCCCGAGGCCGGGACAAGAGATCCAAGGTCCTGGGGCGTCGCTTCGGGGGACGAGGCGGCGAAGATTTGGTCCACCAGCTCTTGGGAGCGCCTGCGCTCGCTGGAGGACCACACGGGCTGGTTGCTATTCGCCGCCTTCTCGTCTCACGGGCAGCTGGAGCTGACGGCTTTGATGGTCGGGACGGCGAAGAGTTTGTCCGCCAGCTCCAGGTTGTGTTCGCGCACGCTGCGGGGCCGCGGAGGCATGGTGACCGCCGCCGTCCTCTCGTCGCACGGGCAGCCCGCGCTGACCGCCCCACTGGACAAGACGGCGAAGACCTTGCCCGCTGACGCTGACCCAGTGCCTGCGCACGCCGGAGGACCGCCAGAAGCCGGTGCGGCGCGCCCAGCCTCGGAGGGCACCAACTATACACCAACACCGATCCTGGCCCAGGATCACCCTGGGCCCAGGATCGGTGTACATGCCTTCTTGCGCAAGGCAGGAGGGCGTATACACCGATCCTGGGCCCAGGGTGATCCTGGCCAGGATCGGTGTTGGTGTATAGTTGGTGCCTTCCTACAGCCGTCCCCTCGCCGGACGGGCAGCTTGGCGCATTCCGCTTCCGTTAGGCGCTGCGGCGAAGATCTCCGGCCCACTGGCTCCCTGGGGAGCGTCCGTCGCACTTCGCGGGGGGCGTTCCAGCTCGTGCGAGATGGCCAGCCTTTGTCAAGCGGTGATCGCCCCGATGCTCCGAGCCCTGGCGCTCACACCTACCTGCCACCACTGCCTCCTCATCCTCCTCCTCCTCCTCCTCCTCCTCCGCCTCCTCCTCCTCCTCCTCCTCCTCCTCCTCCTCGCCACCTCTTCGACAGCGGGCACACGTCTGGCACCACCACAGCACGGTGCCGGACGAGACCTGCTGGACCCACAGGCTCAGGGATGTGGAAGCGTAAGCCACGCCGCGGGGAGCGCGTCCGAGCCAGAGGGGGGGTGGGAGACAAGGCCTCGGCGTCGCTCGGACGTGTGCATCTTTTCCTCAGCGGGAACCATCGAGGACCATCCTGGACCATCGAGGAAAAAAAGAAACACGCACGAGACCGAAACATGCACGGGAAGTGGACGTCCGAGCGACGGCAAGAGGCCCCCCAGAAGTGCCCGACTCGGAGGTGAGCGGCTCGGAAGCCAGTATAGTGGCTTCATCGGCATGCTGCCCGCGGGCGGGCAAGCAGGGGCGGCTCGAGGTAGGCCCTCCCCCCCTTCCTGCCTCCTCGGCTCCGCCTCCCCCCTCCTCGCCCTCCTCTCCTCGGCCGTTGTCTTTCTCCCGTCTCGCTTCTCCCCCTCTGGCTCCTCGCTCCTCGCTGGTGCCTCCTCGATCCTGAATCCTCGTTCCTCGCTCTTCGATTGCCTCACGAGAAGCCGGTTGCGTTATCAATAAGAAGAAGAAGCAGCATCCTGCAGCAACCAGCAGCAACAGCAAACATCAGCAGCACGCGGCACGAAGCAAGCTGCAGCATCGGCAGCACACACCACAACAACAGTCAGTAGCAGCACGCAGCTTGTAGCAGCACTTTGTATAGCATAATGCCTCAATGTAAGGTCGTGGGAGAGCAACATGTGTATATAGACCGTTGCAGCGAGCATCTCGAAGGATCAGCAAACGGCAGTACGCGGCAGCGAGCGGACGGGCAACACATGAAGGAAACACATCAGGACACAGTGGCCCGGCCACCAGCCAGGCTGGCAGCCAGGGAAGCAGGACAGCAGGCGAGCTGACAAGCGGGCAGCCGATCACCACCCATGCATGTGATTAAATTGAACGGTAGTTCACGGATTCGTTTCAGTCTTAACTCGTGGACCAGCGGGTGTGAGAAAGGCGAGCAGTGGAAGCGGGCGTTATGGCCACTGGGCGCGAGGTTGGAGGTGAAGGCGGATCCAGATGCAGCCAGCTATAACCCTGCGATTGTCGTTCTGCTGCGCAGAGGCGATGCCGCAAGCTAGGTGGGCAGTGGCAACGGGCCCTGTCGCTACTCAACGAGATGTGGGAGGTGAAGTTGGGCCTCCCGACGTCATCAGTATTACACTGCTGGGAGCAGCGCGTGCGAGAAGTGCGGCAACGTGCTTTGGGGCTGCTCGTCGAGGTGCGGCAAGCGAAACTGACGCCCGCCGCCGCCGCCAGCGGCTTTACCGTCACCAGCACGTGCGAGAGGAACGACGGACGCGGGGGGAGGTCGGACGCAATGTCGCTGCCCAGGGAAGTCGGGGGAAGGAAGCGGGAGACGGACGACATCATCAACAGTGGCGGCAGGGCGTGCGAGAAGGGGTGGTCGGTGGTCGCCAGTGCTGTCGCTCGCCTGGAGACGGAGGCCATCAACTGCGATGCGCTGCGGCTCTGCCGCGTGGGAGCAGGGTGGTCGGTGGCCACAGGCGCTGTCGTCGCACGTGGAGATTTCGGGGAATGGAAGCTGAGCAAGGCATTGCAAATTACATTGCTGGCATCGCCCCCCAGAGGAATCAAGTTTTGCACATCTAGGTCCAGCGCAGCAGCTCTGCACACCTACCTGCAGAAAGGTGTTGACGCTGCGTTGGAGCCTGCTGTGCAGCCCTGCATGCACGCAAGGCTCGCTGGCGTTGCGTCCGGTCCCGCGGTATCTCCCCCTATGAGGTTAGACCGACGGTGAGTTGGCAGCACTCGGTATGGCTCGCGCGAGTGTGTTGGTTGAGGCTGCTGAGTCGCCGGCAGAGCACGGAGTGCGGCTCTCCCATAATAGATGCACCCTCGTCTGCTGGGGACAGCCCGCGAGGGCCGAGGGACCCGAGGCGGCGGGCTCGCGCAAGAGAGGAGGAACCCAGCGCGACCCCCAGTATCAGGGAAGGCTTCTGAAGTAAGTCTTAAATGAACAAGGAATGCAGCGCGTTGCTCTGCAGTGCTCTGGTTCTCATGGCATCGCTTTGCGTCTTGGCATTGGTGTGCATTGCTTTTTATGGCTTTGCTCTGCTTTTCTTGGAATTGCTTGGCATTGCTTGGCATTGCTTGGCATAGCTTGGCATTGCCTGGCATTGCCTGGCAACGCTCGGCATTGCTTGACATTGCGTGGCACCGCCTGGCGTTGCTTGGCATTGCTTGGCGTTGCTTGGCATTGCTTGGCGTTGCTTGGCATTGTCCGCTGCTCCCTGGCATTGCTTGGTCTAGCTTTCTGCTTTGCCTGGCACTGCTCGGCGTCGTGCCTGGCACTGCCTGGCAGGGGTTGCCACTGCGTGGCTCGGCATGGCTCGGCGCTGCTTGCGGGGACGGCCGGCCGGCGCAGGTTTCCTCTCTGTTAGCATCGGCGGGCACCTTGCGGGTGAGCGCAGAGGGCGCGTCTTAGACAGTGGCGAAGCGTCCTGGCTCGCCTATAGCCCTACCAAGCGATGTTCCAAGAACCTTTTGTGGTTCCCACGAGATGCTCTTAAAACATTTCTGGCGGAGTCTGTCGTGTTTGAACACATCGGATCTATGTTCTAAGAACATTGTTTTTGTTCTTAGAACAGCTTTGGGTTCTGAAAACATTTCGTGGTAGGACTATACGAAGGCCGGGACGGTCGGTCCCTGCTCGAGCGTTCGTATGCCCGTGGCGCTGGCGCCGAGAGAAGTCTCACGTGCTAGAAGAAGAACAGGCCACACAGACATCATGTTTTGGCGCTCCGCGCGGACTTCTTGGATCCGCCCCCGGCCCCCCCTGGCGGCGCCTCTGGCGCCGCCCCTGTCGCGCTCCGGCGCCAGGGAGAGGGGTCCAGCGTGGATCCAAGACATCCGCGCGGAGCGCAACAAAAATATGTTTATGTGTTTTTTCTCCTTCGAACGCGGTGGGGCAGGGCCGCAAAATGTCCTGGCTGCCCGCGGCAGCCCGCCGCCACCGTGCCAGCGCACCAGCCCAGAGGTTGAGATCAAGACCCGCTCCAGTCAGTTCAGGGCCCCACGGGTCTTGGTCACCCTGCCCTTTGTCTTCATCCTCGTCGTCGTCGTCGCCCTCCTCATCCTTCCCCCTCTCTTCCTCCCTCCCGTCTTCCTCTTTCCTTCTTCCTCCCTGCTCCTTCTTCTCTGCTCTTTCCCACCTCGCCATCCCTGCCCTCTCGGGTGCCTCTTGCGAGCCCGTTTGGAGCCTCGGGGCCGTTTTGCATGCTGGTTTTACCGAGCTCTTCCAAAGAGGCTCGGTTGACCAGTCCTGGGAATCTCTGGGCGCGTCTTGGGGTTATCTCGGAGGCCCCGTGCGGCGGTCTAGGGCCTCTGGGCCGTCTTGGGGAGATCTCGGGCCGTTCCTGGGGCTGTCAGAAGCACCAGGCACCGAGACACTCAGCATGTTTCTGTTTCGGACTGTGATCGTTGTCGTACTCATTGTTTTGCCGGTCGGCGCCAGCCCTCGCTTCCCCCCCATCCCCCCGCCCTGGAGTGGATCTCGGCTGTCTTTGGCGTCCGTTTCAAGCAGGTGGAGCCTCTCACCCATAGGACGCACCGTTGCAAGCAGTCGCGCTCAGCAGGGGTCCAGAGCCAGACCACCCCCCTCCCCCCTTTTCGCTCATGATCGAAACGCCGAATAAGGACACGTTCACATTTGACTTATCATGGCATCGTTGCAGGCCTACCTATTTGGACGCCTTTGTTTGATTTCTGGGGGCTCCTTGGGGGGGGGTCGTCGGGCCGTCTTGGGTCGGTGTTCGGAAATCTCGCAGTTGCCTATCCCTTATCTTCCGTCTGTTCCTCCCTCCTCCTCCCGTCCCGTTCCTTCCCCCTCTTCCTCATCCCACTCCCTCTTCTCCTCCCCTTCCTCCTCCGCGGCCGTTTTGGCTCATTTTGGCTGTTGCCTCCTCTCCCCGGCCCTTCGCTCATGCCTCCATGGCGCAATTGGGCAATGAACGGCAGTCCCCGCAGCGTGGGGGCCATGTCGATACGGGCGCAGCAGATGATGGGGATGCGGTCGAATGCGCTGCAGTGCTTGTCTGAGATGGACGGCATCGATGTCCGGGAGAATGTCAGCATCGTCGAGGCCAGTTCCTGGCCCCTTTAAGTCGGGGACTATGCCCAACCAGGACAGTGGCGCGTCCAGCCGCGGGTCGGAGCATTCTCCCTTCTTCCTCCCCTCCAGGTGGAATGATGAGCCTTTTTTCCACCACCACCAGAAGTTAGAGGGGTGAAGGAGGTGGAGGAAGAGGAGGAGGAAAAGGAGGAGGATGAGGAGGAGGAGGACCCCTCCCCATCCGCCTCCTCCTCCTACTTATGTTGGTGGCGGTCACCATGGAATTTTCCAAGTCCTGGTTAGCAATGTCCTGGTTTAGGGGGGCCCTGACTATCAGCGCGCTGATGGGGCAGGAGGTCGAAATGGCAAACACCTACCAAGTGTACGCGCTAGACGGCAAGGATGACAAGTTCTACGGAGCCGAGCAGACCAGCTTTTTCTTCCGCAATCTCAAGCAGTGCTTCGGAGATTGTGCGCCCTGGACGCTAGATATATTCTACCGGGAGGGCGTGGGCAGCGAGATGGCTTTCCATCTCGACAGACCTTGCAGTCCCACTTGTTGTTGTTTGTGCCGTCCTGTTGCGTACATGACCGACGCTGAGGGCAACAGCTTAGGGTCCCTACGTGATCCTTACGACATATGTTGTGGTCTAGGCTTCGAAATAATCGACGCCGATGGAGAGACGGTGTACGACTTGAGTAGTGAACCGTGCCCGTTGGGGTTCTACTGCCCCTTGCCCTGGTTCCCGAAGCTTCGAGACATCACATTCACGATAACGAGCGCAGACGGTGAACAGGTGGGTGTGCTGACCAAGCGTGTGCCAGGCATGTTCAAGTCGTTCTTCGCCCCCGACGTGGATAACTACCGAGTGGAATGGCGCGGCGTCCGAGAGCCGAGGCACAGAGCCCTCATCATGGCGGCGACCATGTTTATCGACTTTCGCTACTTCAACGACAGCACCAACGACGAATCGGACGGGCAGTGCATGGGAACTGCGATGGCCGAAGAAGAAATAAAGGCATAAGCATACCAGGGGTGGGCAGAACCCCCACCTTGACAAGCCGATCAGTGACTTGTCCGTGTTCGGTTCTCGAGAGGGCGCCGCGGCCGTCGTTTTCCAGGCTTGCGCCCGCCAGGTTTGGGCCCGAGGCCGTTTTCGCTAAACCACGTTTTGCCAAAGGGGGTTCTGCCCATCCCCGAACATACCGCAGGCCTAGAGGTTGACACCAACACCAATTTCGGAGGTGTGCCTCCACCGAGGGAAGAAGATCCCGATCTCGGTGATGGTGGTAATATTCTGGCTTCCAAGGTGGCCGAACTATTACCGCCAACGCCGAAATCGAGGATCCTCTCCCCCCTGTGGAGGCAGCCCCGTCTTGGCGTTGGTGCCCATTTCCAGGCCTCCAATCTGCATACACATTATTCGTTTCTAATTATTCGAAAGTTCTTTGATTTCTTGGGGAGCCAAGATCCCTCTCATTTCTACTTGTTCCATCCTGGGCCTCTTCCTGGCCACTAGGGGGCCAGGAACAATTAGAAACGAGCACAATTGGAAATGAGCACGATTAGAAATGAACGACGTGTACGCTCTCGAATGCCCCCGCGCGGCTTTCCTGGGTCTGCGCCGGGCGCTCTCTGTGGCGGCGCCTCCCGCGCCGCGCCCGGCGAC